TCATCATCAACATCATCTTCATCATCATCATCATCATCATCCTCATCATCATCATCATCATCATCATCATCATCATCATCATCATCATCACCATCATCATCATCATCATCATCATCAACAACAACAACATCACAGACAACTCTTTTCATTCAAATTTGACCCTAAAAGGCACGAGGCGTTATTGGTATCATCTTCAAGCATGTTCATTAATTGTCTTGCTTTCGATGAAAAAAAAAATACCCATCTAAATTCTGTCTTGAATAGAAGTCGAGATATTGGCGATTGAAGGAGATGAGTGTGGTCTGGTTTCAGAAGTAAAAGTCGCTTAAAAGTGGCTTTCCTCCAAAGTTTTGTGGATTTCCATAGCTTTACAGTGATTTAAAACTTAGAAAGCACATATTATTTTAAGCGATTAATCAACGTTCTATCAATAAAATTCACCTGGAAATATTTTTTATACGGACATAAAATGTGTTTAGCCCAAAAAAGGAAGAAAAAAAATCAATAAATATTGCCAAACTTGAGGACAAATTTCCGTTTTTTCGATTGAATTATTTTGATGAGCCTTGTCTGACGTCACTGCGACGCCACATTAAAATCTCAGCAAAACCTTTAGCATCACACGCCTCCTATTGGGGGACTCGTGGGGGTTTAACCCTAGCACTAGACCCTGAGATTTGCAAGAAGAGGTGCTTGGACATAAACTTTTCCTACCCACATCACGAACAAAAACAGATATGACTGTTTATCCCCTTTGACCCTCACATGTTTTATATATCGAGGTGAAATAATCAGGCTTACTTTTATCAGCCGCTCATACCCTTTTGCGTTTCGCCTGAAGAAAGAGACGTCTCTCTGTCGCCAGCCGGAGAGCTTGGGTCAGGGGGATGCCGTGGGTGGTTAATGTTTCCCTGACTCCATCTATCCAGGTCTTTTTCGGTCGCCATCTAGCCCTGTTGCCATCCAATTTTTAAAAATAAAATTTTATGTAGGCACGTTGTGCTGGATGGTGTGTTGATGAAATCAGACGCTGGTAAAAATTAATGAAATCGAAAAAGAAAGCCATTTTTCCAACAGTTTGGCAATCTTTATAGAAATTTTGTTTTTTGGCCAAGCAGCTTTTATGTTCATATGAAAACACATTAACATAATTATACATTTTACTGAAAAACCTTGTTTAAAGGCACAAAATATGTAATTTTCAGTTTTCAAGGACTCTTAAACTATTAAAGCTACCAAACGCTGGCGACCATTTTCTAATTAATTTAACCACTGAAACCAGACTAGCCCACATTCTTCAATCGCAAATATCTGGACTTCTGTTTATCATATATGGATATTATTTTGCACTGAAAGCATGGCAAATGAACAAACTTTCAAAAGATATGATTAACTCCTCATGCCTAAAAATTGACGGTGCCTATATTTATA